TGTGCAGCCCGTTCTCCACGGTGCCCAGGCTTGGGGGAGGCGAGGGGCCTGGGAGGACCTGAACTTTGAAGGCTCCGCTGGCTCCGAGGCTCTGCAGGCTGGGAGAGGGGTCACGCACAGCCCTGCCCACCATCAGCCCGCCTGTCCAGGCCCTGCGGCTCCGCCTCTCAGCCCCTGGGCTTCCTCTCTGGGCCCCACCTCTCCTGCAGCACAGTTCTCATCATGGCCCCGAGGCCATAGCAGGAAGCTTCACGAGGCTCCAGCCTAGCCCGGCCTCTTGAGCCCACGGAAAGCTCCTCTCCTGTGGTGGGGACCCTGAGCCCCAGGCCAGGGGGCCGGCCAGTCACCACGAGGGCTAGGTGGAGTCTGTCCCTGGCCCTCCCTCTGTTCCTGGTGGCAGCAGGGTCACGGCAGCCTCTGCTAGGCCCCGGTGTCCTCCTGGCCCCTCTCTCCTGCCTCCTGGACAGCCAGCTTCCTCGCCTGGAGGTCCTCAGTCAGCTATATCTGCAAAGACTCTAAAACCTTAGCCTGTCACCCGTTCTAGGTCCAGATGTGGACAAGTCTCCCCACCTAGCAGAGAGGGCTCCAGGGGAGACACCGACCAGCGCCTGCGTGGTGTCCCCCTGTCGTGTGCATGGACCGCTTCTGCCTCCCTCTTCCTCCTCGCCTGATTCCTGGACCACTCCTGGGACCCACTGAGCCTGGTCATGTTCTGGCCAAGGCATCCAGTGGCCTCCAAGCCAAGCAGGGTCTCCCTCCCTCTGCCCACCCCTTCCCTCCCTCTCTTCCCCTCCTTCTCTCCCCAGGTCCTGTTTCCTGAGCTGAGCTGCAGGTGGTGAGTGGCCTGCAGACCTGAATGAACCACATGGAGGGGACGGAGTCTCAGGGGAGCAGGAGAGGTCTGCTGGTCCAGCCGGGCCATGTGCAGGGCAAGGAGTGAGGCAGATGCTGGGGCTCAGTCCCAGGGACACAGGGCCCAAGGAGCAAGTGGTGTGGACATGGCGGCCAAAGGCTCAGACCTGGGGAAACACCGTCAGGTACAGTGGACCCCGGACCCAGACTGCCCTTTGCTCCTCAAGGCTGAGGACACAGGAGTCTCCTGTGGCTGGGTCAGCGAGGCCTCTGTCCTGAGGCCGGCTCCCAGCAGGGCTTCTCTGCACCTGGTACCCGCACTCAGCGCAGTGGGGTCAGCATGGTCTGTGCAGCTCTGGAGGCTGTCCCGCGTGGGCAGAGGGGGGCTCCGTCAGGGACCCCACGGCCCTTGCACTGGGACAGTGGCATCTTCGCAGAGGGCCGGAGCATAGGGTGCAGGGAAGGTGTGTTAGGGTTTAGGTCTAGCTGTCCGGAGAGCCTCACATGTTCGTGTGCGGCTTTGGAAGCAGTCTGGATCGTGGGCACCGTAGCTGAGCTGCCTGAGGAGGCGGGCCCTGAGGGTCATCTCTCTCCAGGCTCCTCCTTTTCCTCTCTGCTGCCTGTCTGCTGGGCCATGAGCAGCTCTCCTCTGCCAGGCCCTTCTCCCATGCTTCCCTTCTCTGGGGCCGGCCCCGCCCGGACTGAAACGTGAGCCAGAAGGAACCTCTCCAGCTTTAGGTTTCGGGTATCTAGTGTTTGTCTCAGCAAGGAGGAAAGCAGGTAAGGGGCCTGGCGGATGCCAGGGCCCATTTCTCCTCCCCAGGGCTGCTCGGCCCCTCCCCTCAGCGTGGCACCATCGCCATCGTGTGGGTTGAAGGTGGGGGTGAAGCCCGGGTCCGAGCCTCTGCCCGTGGCACCGCGGGTATGTTCACACCGTGGCATGCACAGTGCCCAGCGCTGTGGCGGTGACCAGTGTGTCCTTTCCCAGGAGACCATGGGGCAGAGGAGCAAACTCCGTGCAGGCTGCTTGTGGCTCTGCGTGGCCTCCCTGCCCCTAGAAGCCAGCTGACCCGATGGGCCGGGCCCCGGTCCTCCCTCTGTCCACTCACTCACCTGGCTGCCTGCCTCCTCTCCGAAGGTGCCAACGTCCCCCTCAGACGTGTCCCCAGGAGCCACACCGTCCCGTGGACGGGGCTCCTGGCACTGGCTCACACCCGGCCCTACTCGGAGGATGCGCTGGTTTTCAGTTGCGTCTCTGCTCTCCAGGCCCTGGGGCACCGAACCCTGGCTGGCCCCACCTGCCTCTGCAGTTGCTTTCAAAAGCAGACAGCAGGAATTCACAGTTAATGCTGTTGCTTTTGGCTTCTGCCCCGTCCCAAGGCAATGCTGGAGCCTGGAGGCCAGGAGCCCACAGGACCCCACTGCCACCCATGCGGTCCTGCTCCTGGGCTGAATTCCAGACCCCAGGCCCCATCTGTCCTGGGACTGCCCCTCTGGTCTGTGCCTGCCCGAGTCTGCCTAGGGCTGGTTGCTTTCTCCCTGGAGGGCCCCGCTGCACCCCCCAGCACAGCCAGTGGCTCTGCTGGATTTTCTCAGCACAGCACCTGTCCTGGGGACACTCAGGTTACCTCAGATGCATGTTCTGGGTGAGTCTGCACTGCAGCTGCGCCCAGCTCTGTCCCCCTGCTCTATCTGCCCGGGGAGCAGCTGGGAGCCTGAGGCAGGAGCCACCACACAGAAGTGGCCGCACGACACACAGGGCACCAAGTCCCATCACTGGTCCCGACAGCTTGTGACGAGAGAGTGTCCGTGTGTGTGCATGCAGACACAGGTGAGTGTGAGTCCATGCATGGACACTCACATCCACACGTGCATCCCAGCACAACCGAGCCCCACAGGGTCCTCAGCTCAGAATGGGGCAGGGAGAAAGGGGATCCAGGTGACCCGGGGTGGAGCCTGGCTGAGGAATGCCCAGGGTTGGCAGGTGAATCCTCAGGGGACCCTGGGAGAGGTGACGGCGGGGTGCGACCCTGCTGTGTGGACCTGGGCGGGCAGCAGGGGTGGGGAGCAGGCACCAGCTAGTGGCTGTAGGGTGCCAGGGACCAACTGGCTGCATGCGTGCCTATGCAGGACGGGGCAAAGGGGAGGGTGCCGCGGTCCCAGGACAGGAGCTTCGGGGCCACTTTGAGGCCCCTGACCTCCTGGGTGGGCCCAGGGCGTCCACTCTTTAGCACAGCCACCCTATCATCCATTGTGCCTGGCTCCCCACGGTGGAAACATGGCCCTAGGTGGTCCAGTGGTCACCGTCACTTGGCAGGCCAAGCAGGCCTTGGCTCAGGGCCTGGGCATAGGAAGAACGCATTTGCATTTTGGGAACAGTGGAAGAGCCTGTCTTGGCTCCCATTTTTAAGGCTTACCTGTGCTGTTTATATTTAGAGTCACTTCAGGGCGAGGCACCCTGACCTTTCTGACTTCCTGGCCCCTCAGCCTCCGTGGGACCTGCAGCACTGGACCCTCTGTTTTGTCTCCCCAGAGTCTCCTCAGGGGGTCTAGGCACGTACACATGTGTATGCACTGTGCATGTGTGATGTACACGTGTGCATGCGTGTGCATGCGTGGGTGTGCATGGTGTGGGAGTGTGCCTGTGCAGTGCATCTGTGTGCATGGCTGAGTGCTTGTGGGTTACAGTGAGGTAGGTACTAGGGCTTGTGCTGCAGGGACCCCTCAGCCAGGGCCCAGGCCCCCCAGGGTAAGCATTGTGGTCACTTCTAGGAGCCAGCAAGTGACAGGAATTGAGGTCACAGTGGCCTTTCTGAGTCCCGCCTTCCTGCACACCCAGGGTGAGAGAGGGGAGTGAGGGCTCCTAGACCTCCACAGTCCTGCCTGGGACCCCTGCCCCCCTGGGGCTGCTGCCTGAGAGCTGGGCAGAGTCTGTGTCCACCCAGCCGACCAGGGCACCTGGTGTCCCAGAGGAGAGGCCTCCGGTGCTCAGGAGGTGCCCTGGCCATTTGCAATCCCCAAGCTGGAAGCCCCCACCTGAAGGCCACCTGCACCCCACTAGTGTTCACAGGAGTAGACATGGTAGCCAGGCCAGCCGGCAGGGTGAGGGACTGCCTCTCCTCCAACAGAAGTGTCCCCTGGTCGCATACTCCAATGGCTGCAGACCGCGGTCCCGAGGGCTTACCGGGTGGGGCTCCATCTTGACCTCAGCCAGACCCCTGTCTGGAGGGCAGACAGGTGCACCCCACGGAGTCAACACGGGCTGCACTGTTGAGAGTGTGCCAGGACTGCCGGGAGGTCCCGGAGGCTCTGACAGGGAGAGCAGGAAGGCCCAGACAGAGAGATGACTTCCAGCTGAGGCTGCCAAAGTCCAGCAGGGAACAGGCCTTGCTGCTGAGGCCACCCTGTCTGCAATGGCGGCTTGGTCCCTGACCCATGGTTCTGTGAGGGACTGGAGTCTCTAGGAGGAGCGGCCCAGCAGGTGGAAGTCAGGTCAGTGGGGCTGCACCCCTGATGGGGGCCTGGGGCCCGGGCCCCCTTTCTCTCTGCTTCCTGGCTGCCATGAGGTGAGCAGCGGTGCCCCTCTACCTCCTCCCGACGATGTTCAGCCTCACCATGAGCCCAGAGCAACAGCACCAATGGACCATGGACTGAACCTCAGGAGCCGTGAGCCCAAGTAAACATTTCCTTACTTATGAGAGGGGGCACTGGGAATTGAACCCAGGGCCTTTGCTCTATCCTCACCCTTTTTCATGTATTTATTTTTGAGACATCATCTCTCTATGTTACCCAGACAGGACTCAAACTTACAATCCTCTTGACTCAGCCTCCCAGAATGCTAAGATTACAGGCATGCCCCACCACACTGGGCTAAACTTTCCTATTTTGTAAATTGCTTATCTCAGGTTATTTTTCTCAGCGATGGAAATGTGACTCACATTCCTGCTATGCTCTCTTAGGCCTGGGTCTGTTAACTTTCATAACCATGGGAGCTTCTAGAAGTTCCTACAGTCGTGCCCAGCATAATGTCTCTCATCCTTCCCTGTCCTTTAGGGTGGGCCAACGGTCCTCTCTGCAACCCGTTCCAGGTTCTGCTTCCCCAAGCCAGGGCTTGGGCTGCGACGCAGAGATGAGAACAGACGCATGGAGACCAGGGCCATGTGGGTGTCTTTATTGTTCTGGGCAGGGTGGGATACACAGCCATGGGGTGCGCACTTGGCTTGTAAAAATATCTCAATAAATAAACAAATAAGCAACATATACATGGACACGGGGAATATAAAAGAGCGAGCTGGGAGAATCGGGGCAAAACAGGGCTGTGAGGAGGGGTTCCAGGCTTCCTTGAGACCATCATGCGGAGGTCGGGGTGGGCGGGAACTGGGGTCCTGTTCTGATAGCCTTGGTCCAGTTGGAGCAGGTTGTACAAGAACACATTTCTGTTTTATTAAAAAAATGCACGTCAAAGAAGGCACTCAGAGGGAAGTACAACTCCAAATCCAAATGCTCATAAATGCATTCCTGGATCTAGAGATTTTTCAGAAACAATAAAATCTACCCCGTTAAAAAAACCCAGAAGAAAAATCCAGATGGTGACGAGATGACAATGCGCAGGTCGCTGGCCAAGAGGCCCAGGAGCCGCTCCAGCATGGGGACTGTCTCTGGGGAGGAGCCCGCGCTGGCCCGCTGGGCACCTGCCGGAGTGCACAGGGCCTTGGCGAGGTCCAGGTTCAGAGGCGTGTGGGTGAGCCAGTTCTTCAGACGTGTGGGTCAGTCTGAAAGACAAGGAAGAGGGCTCAGCTCTGCCCGCTGCCCCATCCTGCAGGGTGTGGCCTCCCACAGAGGGGCCGAGCCTGGACGGGACGGGCGGCTGCACACAAGCGTCACCCTGCACCTCCCCAGGGACCCTCCCTCCCTCCCTCCACAGAGCCTGGACCATCCAGGTGACTGTCCCCAGGCCCCAGGCCACGCCCAGCTCCCAGGGCCCTGAGGATGGCTCTCCACCCCTCCCCAGGCTACTGCCACGCCCAGCGGGCTCCCCATGGGACAGAGCCACTGGGAGGAGAGTGTGGAGGCAGCGGTGGGGTTTCCAGGGTCACGGGCTGTCCAGGGTGGCAGGGGGCAGGGAACAAAGACACTGAGAAATGGGACAGCTGCCGGGAGGGGCAGTCAGGGGTGGATAAAAAATGATACTTCTGAAATAATTACAGATTCATAGGAAGTTGCAAAAAAGTGTAAGAAAGATTCCAGTGCATTCACCCCGTTTCCCCAGTAGTGCAGGCTCTCAAGCAATCTGAGAGCAACATCACCCCTGGGCTAGCGGCGTCAGCACAGCTCGGTGCCTTCTGCAGGACACACGGAGTGGCGCGGGCGCGTGAGTGGTGCATCGTGTGTGTTTAAGGCAATGTCATCGTGTGGATTTTGGCACCTGCAACTGTGACCAAGATATACAACCTTCCTGCCACCGCAAGGTCCCCTCATGCCAGGACACTGATTTTTAAAAACACACGAAGGCCAGGTAGCACTGCGGGGCCGGGCGTGCTGCAGGTGCCTGTGTGCGACTCCCGGGAGCACCAGCAGCTCACAGCATGGGCAGAGGCCGTGCTCCTGTGCTACACACCTGTGTGCTCACAGTACCGCCCGCACGCACACACCCTCTACTCGGAAGGGCCTGCCCTCCCAGGGTGAAAGTTGGGTTTGGGCTCACATGGTGGCCTGGAACAGGTGACACGGTGACATGATGGGGAGAACAGGACATCCAGGTCCTCACACACCATTGCCTGTGCCCCCCACGCCCACAGAAGAGGAGGCTCTGAGAAGCGGGCAGAGGCCAGAGCCTGAGGCCCAGGGTGCAGCAGCTGCTGTGAGCTGCTTCCGGGGACAGCAAGTGCTGGCCATGTCCGGAGAGCGGGCAGCAGTGCTCTGAGGGCCAGGCTGGCCCGTCGCTGGCCACTCGGGGCTGTAGGGACCAGCAGCACACTCGCCCCAGGCTGCACATGGCATGGGCCAGTGCACCGTGACAGCAACACCGCCCCAGGACCCGAGGGGCTCTGTCAGGGACTCAGAAGGGCTCCAGGGCGCCATTTCCCTTGCTGAATCAAGACAAAGGTCAGACAAGACCCAGACAGGTTTCCCTAAAACTCATGTGCACGGAAATCCTCCCTCTCCCTCTCCCTGTCTCAGCTCAGAGCATTCCAAATAGTTAAGTCTTTTTAAGTGGTGCTGGGCAGAAAGTCAAAGGCTGCTCTTTTGGAGAATGTGGTTGTAATTAGATAATTAATAAGGGGGTGGCCAGCGAAAGCTAAATGGAAGCCTTCCTCAGTGGGAGGAAATAATTACAACAGTTTTTGATATATGAGCTGAGCCAGCCTCCAAGGGGAAACACAGTATCATCCATGAAAAGCCATCTCCAGCCGGGGTGGGTTTCAGGGTTTGCTTCGTGTGCCTGCAGGGGCCTGGGGCCGGGGCGGAGTGAGCGGCAGGTTCATTAGTCTTCCTGTCCAGGGCCTTCCAGCCTGGCCCCCTTGATGTCGCCCTGACCCCGGCCGTGTCTGCTGACACAGGCAGCAGATGTGAAACGTCTGGGGCTGCAGACCGCTCTGTGCACCAGAACCACCTGAAGCCAGGCCTGCGCCCTGTCTGCGGCTGGCCCTCTGCACCTGCCTGCCTGGCCCAGAAGGCACCAGAGGACATCAGTTGTCTCCCCCACACCAGACCACAGGGCACCAAGAAGCAGACAACTCCACGTCCCCAGGCCAAACAAAAGCACAGACATCAGTGAAGTCTCTAGAAGGGAGGTGGGCTGGGCTCGAGGAGGAGGAGTTTTGTTATAAGGCCATCCATGCTCCATCTGTGCTTTAAATCTCCCTTTGTTCCATCCCTCCTTCCCTCTCCCTTTCTTTCTTCATTCCTTCCATCAACCCATCCATCTAAACATCCCATCCATCCATCCATCCTTTCATCCATGCAACCCTCCATCCATCCACAATACGTCTATATACAGGAATCCATCCTTGCAAACTTCCATCCACACATCCATGCAGCTGTTCGTCCATCTGTCCATACATATGCACATACAGTCATCTATCTGTCTGTGCATCCACCCATCCATCCATCCACATGTACGTATAACCATCCATCCACCTCTCCAGCATGTACTGAGCACCTATTTATGTGAGGGATGCTGCTAGTTGCTGAAAAAGCCAAGACGAATCAGAGAAACCTGGGAGAAGAGGAAATGTAAAGACAACGTGAATGCAGTGCAGACACTGGGAAAAGCAGGTAAGACTGCAGAGAAGAGCAAAAGGGCCAAGTAGCCTGGGTTTGGCTGGACTACCAGAAAGAGCAGGGCGTGAGGCAGGGGACAGGGAGAGCCTAGATGTGGAACCTCCTTTAGCCAGACAGCTTGTGCCCGCACACACGCACACACACACACACACACACACACACACGCACACCTGAACTGCAGGGGAGAAAGGGAAAGATCAGGAGGCCAGGAACAGACAACGGAAATGAAATGTAGGGGCGTCATCTCCAGCAAGCAGCAGACAGACGTCCAGCAGACAGCCTCATCTTTAGCCACCTCTCCTCAACCCCAGCCCGCTAAGAGAGGGAGCCTCTGCCCAGGGGGACAAAGGCTGTCCAGTTCTCCAGAAGTCATGAACAGTGAGTCACCAATAAGCGGTCGAACCATCAGAGCTGCTCATGGAGAAGTTCAGCCCTCAGGGGCAGCCGGGATCCCACAACCCTGCTTGTGTTCAAGAGGAATCATCCAGAAAGACCAACGTCTTCCTGCTAAAAGGAGCTCCGGGTTCTGGGAGGAATGTGGGGAAGACCAACCGACCGGGTCGCAAAGAAACTTCCAGGAGGAGGTGAGCCTCCCACTGCTTCCAGACAGAAAGAAAACAAGTAGAGTCAGGGTGGCCCCCGGTGTGTCTGCCACCTGCCAAGTGACAACGCCAGAATGGCCAGAGCTCTGACGGAAAAGAGGGGGACGAGCTCCTCCCAGCCCTCCATGCCCACCCCTAAGTTCATGCATGCCAGGTGACCTTTGGGGGAGCCCCAAGACACGGCCCTCCCGAGGCAAGGACTCAGCCCCTCGCTCTGGGGGGAAGGAGAGGTCGTCTACCCAGCAGGCAATGAGGACGTGGCAGAGAGAAAGTGCTGCAGAGGCCACATGTGAGGGGGAGGCAGGTGCATCCGTGGGTCCCCAGGAACCCAAGCTGCTGTCGGCCCAGAGTCACCCAAGGAGGACGAGACACCAGCAAGACCCGAGCACGGCCTGGGCAGTGCCGCCTCTGAGCTTGTTCTCCTACTCACTGGGCTGGGGACCCCCGTGTATTGCTAACTGTTGGGCCTCCTGACCAGCTCCCCAAAGGTCTACTGCACCCCACAAAGAAAACAAACCAGGGTCACAGCTAAGTGGAGAGGAAGGTACGGAGATTTTCCGTGTGGCCAGGCACAGGGCCACAACCTCCTCTGCCCAGCACCGAAACTGCGGCAACACCTGCAGGGCATCGGGGCGAGGCAGGGCATGCCCACCCAGGGATCCAAACGCAGGACCCAAGGTGCCCACAAATCAAGTTCCCTGCTAGAGAACCCACTCTGTGTGCCCCAGAAGCGTTAGCACAGAGACGTGAAGCAGTGGCCACCAGAGAGCTAGTAAAGGACACTGCTGGACACGATGCTCAGCAGGCACCTAAAGGTGCCTCCCCTGCTCTAGGACAGAAGGGGGGAAGGGTGGGGCTTGGGCTCAATCCCAGCTGCTGCCTAGGGTCCAGGAAGCCTTGGGAAAGTGGGGAGCTTCTTCAGACCTCAGTTTCCCCATTTGCAAAGCAATTAAGGAGGGTCCAGCAGGCAGGGTCCGTGACAGCTGCAGTGAACAGTATGTGCTCGGCCACTATTGGCTGGGACGGGGCCTCTGATGAAGACGCCAGGGAGACACGGGTGACCTTGGTGAAGCGGGGCCTCCTGCTGCCCGTGGGCAATGTGGCCCTGCGGGTGCCATGGAGGGACTTAGAGGAGTGACCGCGGAGACAGCCGAGCCCCCTTCTGACCAGGCACTCACTGCTTGGCTGAGGCAGCCACTGTCCAGGGCCTGAAGGAGGGGACACAGCGGCAGAGGAGGGGCTGCCCATGCCTGCCAGCAGAGGCAGGGCCCAGGCCCATGCGACTCCCTGCCCTGTGCCCGTGGGGCTCTGCTGCTCCGCCCCCACACCACCGCAGAGGGAACCTCTGAGGCCCAAGCCCAGAGCAGTCCTGCGGGGTGGCCCCACGCCCCTCCTGCGGTCGCAGCACTCACCCCACTGATGGAGAGAAGGAGAAAGCGTGCAGGGCCGGGGCACACCCAGTCCTCCAGGAGCCTCACCAGCCTCGGGCCCCGGGCACCTGGCTCAGCACACCATGCCGGCCGGGTGGCCAGGCTCACTCTCCAGGTGCTCACTGGGTACGCGTTCCTGCTGCCCAGAAGGTGACCCTTGGACTCCAGCAGGGGCAGCATGACCCAGAAGTCTGCGAGAACCACATCCTCCCGCCTCCACCGACCCCAGGACCAGCGTCTGGGGGGGCGAAACCTCAGCTCTCCTTCGATGCTATCTGAGCATGCCCAGCCTCACACCCGCTGTGACAACCGTCATGCGAGGGAGGTAAACTGAGGCTGTGGGTCCACGACGTGTCCCTCAGGCCCCCACCAAGGAGCCCCACCACGCAGGCTGCAGCTAGGCAGGCCTGGGGCTGGAGGGACGCATAGTGGACGCTGCTGGCCACGCCTCAGTGA